AGGGGAATTTAAAGGAGACTATGCAATACAGAGAAAGGGACTGCAATTTGCTTTTGTGGCATGGCAAAGTCTTCTACAGTTACCTAAACACCTTTCTCCTGCTGAAACTGCGCCGTAATCCAATCTGGTGCTGGGGAACTACTGGATAGCTAACAGTGCAAGAGTGATGGGGACAGAAGAGTGCAAGAAAAACAGTTTGCCTCTGTAATAGATGTACGCTGCTTACAAATTTAAAAAAGCCCCAACAAAACAGCAATTTAAACTGGGCTCACCCAACATCTGTATAGATCAGGTGTTTCAGAAGGGCTTTTTGGCACTTTTATCTAATAGCTGATTCAATCATCTGATCTATACAGATGCTGCAGAGCGGGGTTGAACTAACCCACTGCCTCTTCTGGTAAAGCACTTTTTTTGCGGGGGTGGGGAGGAGAGGGGGAGGGTTCATGTTTGTTAGCAGCCTAAATCTGCCCCCCTGCCCCCTCCAAGAGTGGGGAGTCCTTGCTTCTGCTCTCTGCTGCCAGGGTTATTTCCGTTTTTCTGACTGACAATTGTCTAATGCAAAATGTGTGGGTGGCATTGGAAAAATATTTTTCCCTGTGCATAACTTATACAAAAAAAAGGTAGAAACTAAGCATAGAACCCCACTGCCATGTTTACAGTATGAGAGCTAAATTGTATTTCATTTATCCGAACTACAGTTAGAGTAACTTACCCGTATAGTTGTTGGAAGTGTTGCTTGTTGCAATTTCCTTCCACTGGCTCATATATCTAAACATGTGAAAGGAAAAAAGCATTCAATTTAATGATTCAGTAATTACCCAAATCTTGAAAATTAACATAGTGTTAACTTTATCTTATCTCAACCAGTTATTTGGAAAGTTAAACATATCTCCCAAGAATCAGGGCCTCAGTATCAAATACCTAGACTTAGAGGTGGGAAGCTTAAGATCTTTCATGGATAATAAAGTCCTTCAAAAGAGAAAGAAATGAAAAGTACATGCTTACTCTCCATAGTCAAGTACATTTGTCCATTTCAATAATTCATCCACTTCCCATTCCATTACATCCTGTGCTCTTTCTTTCTCAGTGGCATCAATAATGCCTTCTGCAGCTCTCTGGATTAAGACTGTAATGGTAGGGTCACCTGTTCTGACCCACAGGCTTCCTGAGGAATACCTAAACAGTGAAACAAAGTTACCTTTTACTATACACTGCTTAGAACAGTAATTGCTTTCTGACTGAAGATGGTGCTATATCCTAACACTGTCTCTCACCCTAGTAACAGGCTTATAATGCACATGAGGAACTTTAATAAATCTAAAAAACAGTTTATAGGAACACAAATATGTGAATAGAAACATGCACATTAGTCATCATTAACCATTTATATGGCACTCTGATTTAACTGACATCATAACCATGTGGTAGGGTCACCCAAATACCCTGCAGAAACCTACTACCTACAGAACGGAAACTCACAGCAATCATACACCCTCTGGTGCCACTTATCATTCCACACTGGGACCTATAAGAAAGATCATAAAACAATTCTACTTCATGAGGGCCATACCTGGAGAGAAATATTCTCTACCCACCTCCACCAGTGGCTTTTAAACAACCTCTCAAGCTCATCCCTCCCTCCCCAGCCCCCGATCAACAACGACCACAAGGAACAAGATGCTGCCTAAACAATAAATACAAAAACACTTGCAATACAAAAACACCTGCCACCTTGCCTGCTGCTAGTACAATACATACACCCCACAATGAAGCCATCAGAATTCATGGATCCAACACATCTAATCACAGGATGTGCCAAATCTCACTCAAAACACCAAATGCCCTCATAGGAGCTATGTAGATGAAGATAAACACTCTTGAATAAGCATGCAAAGAAAAATGTTGAAGGACAGAAACATCCAATCTCCAGTAGAAGAATACTTGTCACAGTCCCTGTCTTCAAACAATGGACCTGGGAACAAAAATTTGTAACTTAGTGTCCAGTAACGTTTACTGGACACTAAAAGCCTTGGACTAAACACAGACAGTAGGCTTACAGCACGTGACACTTTACCTGCTCCATCTGCTAACATGACCACACTTCATAGGTAATAACAAATATCTTCCCTTTGGAATGGTCTTTTTTTACATAACAAGGTTTTTTTTTTTAATTTAAACTTCCTTTTAGTTGGTTTGTACCTACTTCTAATAACTTTGGATCATGGGTTTACTGCCAACTTTCCTCCAGGTAACTATGCTTATTTACATAACAGCCTTAAACTAAAAATCACTGTTTTATCTGGCATTTAGCTTAAACTGTGCTAGCTTTTTTGCAGGACCTGAGGGAGGGTGCATTGCATCCACAAGCTTGTCTAATATCTCGCCTATCAACCTGGTCCCATAAACGACATTACCAAACAACTCTTGCTTCTTTCTTACAAATGGACAGAATTTACAGACATAAGCTTGTGTATATCACATTTAAAGGTAGACTCCACACATTTTTGGTTCATCGTTTTGATATCAGCTAAATAGATCTGCTCTTCTAAAGAAAATTTTACAAAAATACCCCAAAGATCATCTCATTGACCATGCTGTGAAACAACTTCTGAGATGTTTGATAGTGTGGAGGAATACTACCCAACAATTTGTACACTGAATATCATATGTAATAAAGACAGACCTTTGCAGCGATCTTTTCAGATGGTTCTGTGAAACAGGACCTAAAAGAGAAGTTCTCAGGACAAGATTCTCTTGAGGGAGACATGAATTTCTTTGAGCAATATCTTTTATTGGACCAATTGTGTAGTTGGGATAGTTAGACAAGCTTTTGAATGCAAGACATTCTTCTTCATGGCTGCATCATCTCCTGAGAGAGACATTTTTACTTAGGTCAGATTGATGGGGCAATTAGTTTGTTCATGTGTTTTTTTTAACTTTCCTGTTCTTCTGTTCTCTTATGGCACATTGCAGGCTCTTGAAGGGCGGGTTCTTTTCACTGCAGGGGATGGATACACTGCTGATGCCCTTGCCTCTTCTAGTCTCTTCCTAAGGCACATTATAAGGCTGTTGAGGAGGTGTGTTGATTTTGTTATACTAAAGCTTTTTTTTGGATATGGGTGTTATTGAGTGTTTTTGGGTTTAGATGCGTGTGAAAGGCCAGAGTTTCTGTGAACCCGTTTGCACAAATATTCATTACATGACTACCTGTGATTGCAAAGGACAGGGGTCAATGTTCCCCTCCAGTTCTATGTTTCTCTATTCTTTTATGTTCCTGTGTTAGCAAGAGTTAAGTCATGTCCTGTTTCACAGTTCATTCACAATGCCTTGTTCCTTTATTTTCTTGTCTGGAGATGTGATTTGAGTGTCACCTTGCAAAGGTATTTTCAGGCTCTGAGAGGATGTGAGGTGTGGGAGGAAAAAATGCTAACTAAATTGTTAGATATTTTTAGTAAATTATTTTGCCTACCCTGGATGCTGATCACCTAGCTCGCCCCACTGCCATTGTCCTGTAAGGAAGACTGAGACAGCTTCCTCAGAATTGGTCCTCATTTTTCGTATCTTTTTGCTTTTTTAAAGGGTGGAATTCCTGTTGAGATCACTACACTAACAGGAACAATTGGGGAGGAAAAACTATTTTTAGTGTTAGGCCTTGGGTTGGTCTGACACTGTCAGGCAGTGGGCTGCTTTTTAGCACCTGTCTTAATTCCTTTTAGAACGGTCTTATTTGGTTGTAT